ATAATTTAACGTATGTCTTTTCACCTCTTCGCAATATAGCAAAGTGTTAGAGAAATTCATAAATTAAGGTTTATTAAAGAGAAATTATTCCATTGTAATAAAACGTTTTTGTACTTGCGTCAAGTTCCATGCAAAGTGCGACATGTTCTCCGACATTTATACACATAGTAGTTTGGTTCTGATGGTTTCTATGGGCAGAACATGTCTGCCTTCTAATCATAATGTAAAGAATATATTTTATAGAATCTAAATCTATATATTGCATACATAAACATATGGTGTACTTACGCTACAACCAGAGCTGAAGATTCTCCTTTTTTGTGCTTTTTGTGTATGTTGCACGCACTGAAATCTGATAAATTGTTGGTTTCATTAGCATTTAAAATACTCATTTTTCTACTTTACGTAGAACAACACCTTTGGGTAATACTAAAATATATTAAAGTCCAGATTGCTTCCTTTTCTGACCCTAAAATGTGTTCTTATGCATTGGATACATATGGCAACTGATCATTTCAAAATTTTAATGTTTTTGCATTAAGCAAGACCTAAAATTTCCGTCACAAAAAAATCACAGTTTTCTACGCACTTTTTCAGATTCAGTTCTTTTGCTCCCTTAAAAAGTGATTTTTCAAAGATTACCTCTGCTTACATTATATGAATAAAGCTTGTACTTATAAATAAATTTACGCCACAATTTAGTAAGTTTGTGATCAGCTGTCAAACTATTTATGCTCCTCTATAAGGAACAAATTCAAGTATCATCTACTTCCAGCTGAACGAAAACTTAAACGGAAAATGTATATCGTATGATAGTTTGTTCTGCTTTTTCTACTGGAATTATATTAGACTAATCGATTCTAGTTTGGTGAGAAAAGTAGGCTCCGGTATCCATCATTCTACTTCGCCGCGCGTTGTCTGTCATGTTTCACTCTAACATCAACAGAATGAAATCCTGGAGTGTCTCAATCGATCAGGAAGCTTTCTTCAATAAATTTAAGTTTGTGTCAAGAGAATGATGACGGATTCCAAATTTATGCTTCAATTATAAAAAAATTCACTCTGACCGAAAAACATAAAAGCATGTGAAAATTCCTTAACTATTTTATTGAGCGAAGAATTCTTTTCTGTAAAGTGTTATTATATGTTTACAGTAAAGTAACTAACCGCTCACCTAAACATGAATCGTGTAATTGAATAGTAATAAATTTTGTTCTTTTGTCTGAAAAATTTCCGTAAAGCAAATGCATTATCCATTTAAATGCAGTCTGTACAGCATCTGATATAATTACTTGTAAAATAAAAACTTTCGGCATTATATTTTTAATTACATAGACTGAAATTATGTGCTTATATGCTTTATTATATGTTATTATATGCTTTCAAAGTTTAACTAGGGACACAGATAAAAGTTACTAATGAGAATCTGTCGCTAGTGTACTTAAATAGCGATGCTTAGTGTGGAAATATATTTCAATATTTCAAAACCTATCATTAAAAATTTTTAAATGAATTTAGAAATGTTATTGTGCTGGTTTTATTTCGTCTGAAAGTACAACAGAAAACATTTAAATGAAATTCAGAAACGAAAGTGTGAAACTTTTCTGTAAAGCAAATGCATTATCCATATAAATGCAGTCTGCACAGCATCTGATATAATTACATGTAAAATAAAAACTTTCGGCATTATATTTTCAATTAAGTAGACTGAAATTATGTAATATTTTAATTAGGTATGAAAAACTCTGAAATTTCATATTTCGTGAAATTTTTAACATAGAAAATGTAAATACAAATTTCTAACTCTACTGAATTCATGTAAATTTTTTTCTTCTTGTTTTCGTATGTGTGTGGATGTTAGTCCTTAGTAAGATCTTAATTGTTATGATGCATCCACTTAAAATGTCCCCATAATGATACGCTTCATTCAGACATTCGACTTCTTTTCCCGCAAGAAAAAAATTAACATGTTGCGTTCACAAAATATTGCCCAATAAAAGGTAATCATACAAAATACTTCCTGCATTATTTTTACAGTATATTTATTTTCTTTGAATGTTGTACTTTCAAATGTAACAAATGAATGAAGAGCATAATCAAAATTAATATTATGAAACTAAATTATTTTGAAACATTTAAAAATACATGTGGCCTTTTATAACTCATAACATTTAGTCACTAATAGTGCTTTAGAAGTTTGCTTATAATTTTTATCATACAAATATAGTAAACCCTTGTCGAAAGTTTATTTTCGGAATGTGATTTTGCACATATAAGTTATCTTAATTGCTTACATTTAATTTGTCCAGTGCTTAAATTTCCTTTGTACGCGGTACGCTGCAGAGTGTCGGTCGCATCGCCACGGCAAGGTACTCTTCAAAAGGGATCAGACACGCATGCATCGTTGCAACCTTGCTTGGCACTGCCCACTCGCAGAGTTACCCAGGCCGAGTAGTGATCATTACATTCACGTTAACAGAGCTGTATTGATATACACAAACTGGCCAACGAATTAGAAACCTTTGAATACGTACTAGGAACCTTTTCGTTTGAATACGCGCTAGGGATGAAGTATGCAAATTTGTTTGTGAAGTGAATTACACGTGATTAGAATGCTAGTATAAGTAAGTAAGTAAGGATTTCCCGATGACTGAAGTAAAATGGGAAAAACTGCAAATCTTTCACCATTTGAGAAAGGGCTTATTGTTGGTGCCCGTTTAGCTGGGCCTAGATTTCGAAGACAGCAAATCTTACTGGGTTCTCAAATGCAGCTACATCAAATATTTTCAGAAACTAGAATCATAATCCACAATAGCGTGTTAAGAGAAGTTTTGAAAACTCCATGTTCTTTTCCACAAAGTTTTTGAAAACTTGTAATCTGTCTTCGTCCCACAAAAAGTAAAAATCAAAAAGCTTTAAAAAAAGAAGTTGTATCATGTGCCTACTTATTAAGTAGCAAAACAAAGCGTTTGAGTTATTAGTTGTTTCAATTTTTCCCTTTATTCACAAAAATATTTAGGTTTGCTTAAATAATGCATACTTTCTTAATTTGAACAAAAATCCTTTAAAATTTTTCCATGCAAAGTTATCCTTTCCGATCCCGATTTTGTATTGATGACGTAATCCACGCGTTCAGCAAGGGGTTATATTATTCTTATTCTTATATTATTCTTATTTGACCTTATATTATTCTTATTTGATGAATAAAATTTGTCAAAAGGAAAGATTTTAAGTTTTGAGAAGACTTGGAAGTTGAAAAGTTGAGGAAAGTTGTTATAAGGTCACATTGTAAAACGCTGATCAATGAAATAAATGACGAGAAAGAAATTAATGATGATTTTACGGTTAAAATCAATGATCTACCGGATGATACAGCATGCTCAAAATCCATATAATTAAAAGTTATGAAATTCACCAAGAATATAAAAGAGTATGAACATTGAAAGGGGAATTTATGAAAATTTCCTTGAAATTTTAAATTGCGAAAAACATCTGAAAGCTCCAGAAAATAAAAGTCAGCGTACTTTTATGATTACTTGTTATACGCATTATTCTATTGTATCGATCAGTACAAAAGCCCCAAAGTGATGAAAGAATATGAAATCAATTTTAGATTAAAACGGTATTCATTATAAATGCATTTTGCTGTAGGAAGGCAGTGCTTATTATAAAAAGCAGCAGCTCTATAGCTATTAGGGCCATAAATGTATAACTGTCCAATAAAGGAAACTTAATTACTGATATAGCAACTAAAATATGTAGCAATCTGTTTTGGCTTATTCCCCGATTCTATGGCATGCTCTGTTAGAAAAACCTCTTAATAGAGTTATCTATCCTCCGAAAGATAATAGAAATGGAAATTTTATTATCGCTCTAATACTTTCTGTCTTGAAAATGTAGTAGTTTAATAAGTTGTTTTAGTATTTAGTTCATGTATACAATTTTCATAAAATATAAATAGTTTCTTAAACTTAATTAGTTTCGTGTTTAAAAGTAGACAATAAAGCAGACTTGTTACGGCCTTGGTTTCGAATAAAACTCTGTCGATTTCAAGAGTGATTATACATAGGTTCGTCTTCTTCAGGATCATCTGTGTCTGATCACCCGCAGAGTTTTTTTCAAAACCTACGTCATATAAAATTTGCTTCTCTGCCTAGTGTTAAATTTTACATTGAAGTCTTCCTCTTCCATTTGATGAGCTTCATACTGCCACATTTACCACTAAGTGCACATAAAAGGCTTAATATTATAGCCTATTTATATGATATTAACTTACTCACTGTTAAAATTTGGATTCGAGTTAGTATAATGTATGTCATAGATGTATATTTTATAAGGTAGGCTGTATATTATAAGAAGATTTATGTAGAAACTAATGATATTAAAAAAACTATTGGATTCAATTTATGTTGTAAATGACATCGAAAATTATACTTCAAGAAACTAAAAAACAGTTTTACTGGGACACGAAGTATAATAAAAAAAATATGAAATTTCTCTTTTAAATGACGATATAAGACACAATTAAGCGTATCATTTCGGAATACGGATATAACGAATTTTTTTCCTGTTTGCTAAACGCTATTTCAATGACAAAACATTTTGATTTTGGAGATTTGATCATCTTTTCCAATTACAGTGACTATGATATTATGGAAATTAATTTAAAATTTATTAAAACTTAAATGAAAAAAATATACTTACATTTTCTGTTATTAAAAATAATTTCGAAACCAAATTTTTCAAAGGGAGAATTAACTTTCAATATGTACACAATTCTATAGGAAAGTGGTTTCTTAATTTACAAATATTTTGCTAATTTTATCGCAAATTCTCGGTCTAAGGACAATTTCAGTTTTCAGTAATTGATTGAATTTATTTTAGAACTGAAAGAAATTGCTAAAATGGTGAGCATTCTAATTTGAAGTTATCTCATTACATTCGATATCCTTAACAAAAATTCCGAATATAATATGATTACGGAGCAAAGAAAGACAAAATAACATTAGAATTGCTTTAATTATTCAGCAGTACAACATACACGTGCATATTAAAATTTCACAAAATTTGCCATACACTATGCTTTACTCGGACAACTTTCACAATACCATTTTTAATACTGATGATACATTAAGATTCACATTTAAATTCAGTACAGAATCATCACTTTTATTTAACATCTAAAATTTGCTCTGTTTTGTGAGCTCACAATGAACATATTAATTATTTTAATGACAGTTGATTATCCCGTTACATTATCTCAAAACAACACATGCGATTACTTTATCGGTATTTTCTTTGATGCAGAGCGTACAATAAGATGAAAGTATAAGAAATAGAAAATAGTTTTCTACAAAATCGCTTCGTGTGAAACAATTTAGTAGTTTACCACAACTTCTCTATGCTTCGTGTTATACAATATTGATTGACTAAAATGTCATCAGATGACGATTTTACATAAAGGCTTTGCATCGTTATTGGTTCTTGGACATGTGTAATTGGTCATATGAAACACATTGCACATAATGGCCACCCATATTCCTAGAGAGTAATTACATTTAATTTAATTATGACTTGGATTCAAATCCTGATTGTACGCCAATTTCCTTCGTGGCAGCGGCGATATGCTCTGACAGAGAGGCTGCCAAAGGCACCTCTGGATGTATGTAGTTATCTAAAAAGTATGGTATGCCTTTTATGTCCTCTGGGAAACCTTTAGGTAGATCAGCTCTCGTTCTAGGAGTAAAGAGAAATGTTTTTGTCTTTTCCAGAAGTCTGAAAGAAATAGAAAATTTGTAAGTTATTATGAGCAGTGAACAGATGTTTCGGTTAGTATTCTAATTCTTTAACTTAAGCTGAATTGACTGCAGAATTTATTAGGCATGATATCTATAGCATACTTATGTTATTAGATACCGCACCTAATCAAAATTTAAATTGTCAGAATAATATAAAATTCAAACTTTCAATATTTTAAAGCTATTGAAACTCCAGATCTCGCTGTGAAGACAGCGTTTCTTGTAGGTATTATACTTTTTATTCACGATTGTTGACTGTTACTATAAATGGTTTATTAATTCTAGTCGTAATGAATTTACAAATCATTTCATTATACGTTTGATAGATTTGTATATTGTAACATTCATCATTTTGACTTGGCAATACTTTTGACCTCACGTGATAGAAATGAATAAAAATATTCATACTCTTAAGTTTTAGCAATGCCAGATGGCCTCAATCATTATGAAAAAAGGAACACGTAGATCTTGATTTCACATTTACCTTAAAAGCAATTATTTCTACCATAATGATATAAATTATTGATGAGAGAAAACAAACAGCACGAATTTATATAAATATTATAAGAAATAAATCTAATTAAACATAATCATAACTGTCTCGTAATTAGTTTCTGTTATTATTATGATTTCTTGGACTTCAAGAATTACTTTATAGCTAAAACATGTACTCAAATTATGCTTTGCCTAAAATATGTTTGAAATGGACACTATCTCTTCAAATAAAAGATATATTGTAATTTTAGCACAGTAATAATTTTTAGATAATAAGTTTTAAATATTTTTAAAATTACGGATTTCCTTCAAAATAAGGTTTTTCTTGCACTTTTTCAAGCACAAAAGGTTTCTTTGATAATTTCGAAATTTTGAAAGAACATTTACAAGTTTCAACATCAAGTACAAATTCGGTATGAAAAATAAGTAATCATAATATTTTGTTTACAAAACTGAAACTTGGCCCGTTTGCATATTCAAGTTTAATGACTGAAACTCTTCGAAACGCACTAGATTTCATAGAACGCTAAGATTTCTATATTAATGTTACTGAATATTGTGTATAACAACGCATTATTAATAATAAGGAAAAATTTTATTGAAAATGCGTTTAAATTATAATTTTTGATAATAGCATTTACATAGTAAATTAACATTAACCTTTAATACGAATTTTAGTGCTTGTAATAAGGACCCCATATTTTTTGAGGATGAGTGTGAGACTAAAGTTACCCGTCAGAGATACATGTACGTAATCTGTGATCCAGATAGTATATATAGTAATTATTTATAGCCTTAATAATTCTGGTTTAAATTGTTCATTTTCAACATTTTCAACTAAATACCTTTCATTCCTGGAGTGACTTGACTCCTAAATGCGTTAGAGCTTTTATGGTTTGGTTTAGTTTTGGTTTATGTGATTACGGCAAAACCTCGAGGACTATCTGTCTAAGGGGATGGATGGTTTCGTGGAGGAGCTTTGTAAGGGAAACTGGCTGCTATACACGTTACACATGAGGTAAACCTCGAAAACCTCTCCTGCAGCCGGCCCGTTTGCGGGATTCGGACCTCAGACCGCACTTACGACAGCGACTTTTAGTGTTCAGCTACTTTCACAGGTAGTCATAATATTTTGTTTACAAAACTAAAATTTGCATAAATTTAATTTTGCATAAATGCTTCTAATGCCCACCGTTCGGCCGCTGGTGGGCCTTAGAAGCATTTATGCAAAAAGTAGAAGTATTTGAAAATGATTACGCGCTTTACTATTGCTAAGACCCGTTTGCTAGGCAACTTACTATTATAAGTGCCTTAAATCCTTGTATCAGAACAACCAAGTGAACTGTGACCAACTAACTTCAGTATTTATAGTAGTATATGAGAAATTATCATGGAGCGCGATTTTTGCCTCCATCCGTATTTTATGTATAGAAATGATATTGTGAATATCACTGGCAAACTAAAATAACAAAAAAAAAAAAAAAAAAAAGCTTTGGTGATCAAATATTCAAAACAAAACTTTTGTGAACGAGTTTTCTTGTGACCACATATCACTTTTATTCATTAAATGAAAATGAAATCAAGAAAAATAAGCGCGGCCCTTGTTTTATGGTAAACACATGTGTTTTCGCATTTCCATCTAAGGATTGGATTGCATTATTTAATTATGGCAAAGCACACGAGGGATATCTGCCTAAAGGGAGGGATGCCTTCGTGGAGGATGTTCTAAGGGAAACTGGCTCGTATATACGTTACACATGGGGAAAACCACAAAAACGCTGGGATTCGAACCTCTGACCGAACTACCAGTGTTCAGCGTCTTTACCGCTCGGCCGCTGGTGGGCCCATTTACATCTAAGCTTCATAAATTAATGTACATTAAACGGTAACGAAACCGTGACCTTTGAAATGTTTTCAAGACTTAGTTGGTCATTTAAAGCCATTCTTATTGATGACTTCTTAAAATGAAACCCATTAAAAATATTATATGTAGACTCAAAATATCTGCAATTTAGCAAGATATTTGACGAAACTGTTGCACAGATTATTTTATGGTAATTTTTAATTGAAATAAATTAATTTTAATCTGAATAAATGAGACAAAGGTTTTAAAAAAAATCTCTTATCTACTAAGTCCCGATGTACGACGTTACAAAAGGCCTTTTTTTTATTTACAAAAACATTGCAAATATCCTTATTTATCAGCTGGATATATAATAAATTAAATGCATATTAAATTATATTAATTAGCTGAGTTGTTTTAAAATGAACATTTAAATTATAAAGGAAGGCATTACATTCAGTTTATTAATCAATATTAATTTAAAAGCTAAAAAATCTGAATTTTTTCAGATTTTATATTACGTTCTTTTTCATTTATACATGCATATGCGTTTCGAGAGTATTTGGGCTAATGACCCTTTGGGCTAAAAATGCTTAAAATAGCACATCTTAAAGAATTTCCAATAGGTAATCTCGCGAGCTGAAGATAGAAGTATTTTATTCCGTACAGAGTGTTGCCACTGCTTTCTTTGAAATCGTTGAGTTTCTTAATAAAACAATATGAAATATATAATAAACCAAATTCTAAATTCAATATGCGGGCCTCTAGGTGCCCATACTCGGGTAGAGGACTACGTTATTCAAAATTTGATCGCTCTGGGTACCTTTATTTTTTCACAATGCGAGAAATGTACATACATTCATGCAGATTCTTCATTATTTAATTTCTTTAAGAGTGATAATATTTGGTGGCAACAATTTGAAAAATACAATAGCTGTTTATAGTGATTCGACGTCAAATACCGTTTGGAGATTAATAGCCCCTTGAGGTATTAAAAGTTCCGTACATATGTCATTCTGTGCCTTTATGCTCCTTTTTATTGCATATTTGTCACCAAAGAAATGAGTTCCTGAAAATTTTTCAAATGTATCAGAATTTTCTTTAAAGTGTTTTACTTTGTATACGTATGTTTGATAAACTTATAATATTTACGTGCAGTTAGTGAAATCATAAGTTTTATGCTTTATTTATTTACCTTTGCAAGCAACGTGATAAACGTTGGGGAGCACGTCTAATAAATCAGCATTCCAAAATCAAAATTTAAAATAAATTAAAGATCTTGTATAATGTCAGATAGCAATATTCTGGAAATTTGTTATTTACCGGGACTCTGGGTAGTTAAATTTAAGGTATTATTTTATGCACATGACATGGCCAAGCTTGCTCATATTGATGATAAATGCATGATAATGTAATGCAACATAACGGTCCAAAATTTTGGAAACACTCGCAAAAACTAGTCTTTAGCCTTAGTGACGTATTTCAGAGAGTCTATTTTGAAAATTATTTTTCACTTTTCGATGAAAAATTCCATTTTCCCGATTACTCTTTAAAAGTCTGACACAAAGCTGTATTTTATAAGAATATAATAAAAAAGTTTATATCTTTCGTTTGGCTAAATTCTGATGTTTAAGAAAAGGGTAGAAAAGGGTAGAAAAGAAATAGCAGAAGAAATGTCAGTTTGTCGAGTCGCAGATTTGTAGATTTTAATGTTTTCTTCGTATGTATACAAAAATCTGTGCTGTTTCAAACAGCAGATTAATAATTGCAGTGACCTAAAATTACCATCCAGTTTGCAGATAAAAAATTTTAATTTTTAATGTACAATCTTATGAGCTTAACGTTAACTGAAGTTTAATGCTACCAGTGACAGAACTCCAATATCTATACAGACTTCTCTTAATTAACTCTTATTAGGCACACTCGAAAAGCTCCAGTTAATTGCGTTTTATAATTTATTAATGAATTTGCCTTCCCAGCTTTAGTTTAAAATAAATAAAAAAATACCCAAATTCTTTGTCAGCTCACTTCCGTTTGGAGAAATAACTACTTGTTTACAGTGCTTATATGTCATTTATCACTCAACTGTAATTATCCTTGAACTTTTCTGAGACTTCTCTTCACCCAATAACGATGGGATCAATAATTTGGAGAATTAAAATTCTACCTGTTTGTTTAATTATAACTAAAAACAACAACAAAAAAAAGAAAACCAGTGATTAAATTCCTACTTTATAGAAGATAAAGTATTTATTTCCAAAAACTTTATGGGAATTCATCCATGTAATTCTACTACAACTGCAGTTGCTTTAATAAATAAATAATAGAAGTTTATACCAAGTGTTTTATTAAAAGCTAAATGATAAAATATTACGATACTTTCATTGATTTCACATGATGGCTGAAGACACGATATCACACACAGTTGTAGCGACTAACTGGTATGCAAACCAAGCAAATGATCATTCTTTTAGTGTCATTGAAAGGTGAATTCAAGCAATTCCTATGTGGATTGTTTTACAGTGGATATATTAATATTTAACAACGTGAAAAAAATGTATTGGCAAAATGCCCCGATACTGGTACAACTTTGATGAGTCAGGCTATGTCCAGGAAACGATCGTGACATCAAGCGCTAC